TATTTTTGAATTTTGGTGTTTACATCACCTTTTTCTGGTGCAGTACTTCAAAAAGTGCTTAAAAACAGTGTGATGGAAACCTAGCTAGTGTAGCGAGTTTTCCTTGAGCCCTATAAATGTACACATTCTGGATCACCATGTCCAGAGTATTACTTGGATCTTACAGAGCAATATTTGTCCAAGCATTGTACGCATTACACCCAAAACTACTGAAATTTTCCCACACTCACAATGGATGAGAATCCTTAAAAATGTCCTGGATTCGGATGATGAACCCGAATCAGCACCAAACCTAATGGATTGTTACATAGGCCATATGCTACCACTCAGAAAAAATCATACAAATCCATTCATTACTTTTTGAATTATGCTGGGAACAAACCAACCAACCAACAAATGCTGGCAAAAACAATGACTAAGCTTCACCCTGATAAAGAAGCGTGTAATCACCTTTATATCAGTACTATTTTTCTGTTCTTTTTATTAACCCTGCAGTAGGTGATGCAGTGGAGAGTTCAGTGCCTTGTGTGTGAGAGAGTGTAGGTTTCTCAGGTCACTTCCTGCTTCTGATGCATTCACATAGTTGCAGTCACAGTGTGTGGGCTGATAAGTTGTTTCACTTCACACATGCCATGTCTGAGTTTTTATTGTGTGCTTTATTTCATTAATTCTGTGTGCATTTCAAAGTCTGAGTGTCTTTGTTTTGTGTTTTGAACAATGTGTTTCTATTTATATCATTATACTCTGTGTTGTTGCATGAGTTAATAGATACTGCGTGTTTTTGATGGATTTTCCAGCCCCGATTGTGACAAGGTCAGTTCAGACAAAACTGATGTATTGTTTTTCAACAGCAATAATTTCTTTTCTGTAACTCCAGAGGGGTGTTAATGACATAAATGGAAAAAATAAAACAGCTCACATGTTAGAAAATTTATAACATCACTGGAGTGCTTCCTTCACCTTAGGCCTTCACCACAGTTTTCATTGACTGGCTTATCAGCACTGACCTGTCCACTGACCCAGTGTTCTTGCTCCTCCTTCTCCTCTCTGTATCTTTCCATCACCACCAAATCCCACACCACCCTCTATTACTTATTGGTTTCCTTCCACTAATAGTTCTAGTTCACCCACTCCCCAAAATACCTCCTCCCTCTCCTCTCCATTAATTTCTCTGCTTGTGTGGGGGTCCTATTTTCTCTACAACCCATTTTCCTTTGCTGCTAACCATTCTTCTGTCTCTGTGTGTGTCAAGTAATTAGAATTTCTTTTTATTTCTTAATCTGTTTTATGTATGACACTTTTTCATTTTTTTACTGCTTGGAATTATACAGTGAGAAAAGAAATAAAATACCAGGAAAAGAAACAGAATGAAGACATTTGACAAAAGTCCCATGCTGGAGTCACACCCAGGATTTGTCTTATTTTTCATGCCCTTGTTAAACTCTTCACTTAGTCCCTTGCATATGAAACATGCAGAATGAGATTTATGGCTTGGTGAATATATGTACAGTATACTAAAAGAATGGAACAAATGAAAATAAACCATCTTCATTGAGGCAGTGCAAAAAAGACACACTTGAGTGAGCTAACAACTTGACCAGGAATTCCTAAAAAATGTCAATGTGATAAAATGAGAGTAATAGTAACTTCCACAGGGACTCTATTAAGTCATCTGTAAAGGTGATGACAAAGCCAGTGATGGTGCTACTGCTCCAAATGTGATGCAAACTGATCAGTGATTGAATAAAGAAATGAAATCCCAAAAAGAGTACCCAGCAATGTGTATGGTCTCACATTTTTTCACATTTAAACCTTCATAATGTCTGGCATGTCATCTTATTAGCCTCCCCAGTCTTGCCAAATTCACTGCTTCTTTTTAATACCGGCCACTGAAAAACACTAATCAAGCAACTCATTTTGTCAGTCAGTGCCTTAGTGTTTTTTGTTCTGTATTTGAAAATCCTTTATATTTTTCAACAGTTCCCTTTTCCAAAGATAGGAACTGTTGCCATTTTGGAAACTGTGAAGGTATTCATACTTTTTCAGTATCCTGGTATCTGCTGCTTCTACGACTCAGTCTCCCCGCAGGAGCCAGTTCGATTTAGTCTACTGTTCTATGTATAATCTAACTTATACCAAACTCTTTGCCACTGTCACCCTCCTCTGCCCTCTGTCTTCTTCTTTTCTCTTTTGATTATCCGCTTCATCACCTCTTCCCCAGCTCTGCTTCCTCCTCTATCTGTTCTGTTTAGTGTCTAATCTGTCTTTTTTCTTTCCTCTCTATTTCCCTTGTACTGAGCATTCCTTCGTACCTTATCAATTCTTTCACTTCCCCTCTGTCTCTTTCTCTTCCTCCATATTTTTCTCATAGTCCCCCTCTGTTTGTGTTTTCCTTTCTGGCCAAAAGCCACTTCAGCTAAATCCTATCTGACAATACCCAAATGAAGCTCAGACATTAATAATGAAGGAACTTTGAATGCCCCTTGAAAAACATCCAAAAAGCATGTCAGGAAAGACTATGAGGAGATGCACACAAAAAATACACACATTTAGCTGGTGTGATTCATCTTAATGAAGTGGCAGGGGACAGCGGTCTGACTTGTTGTTATTGGACACAATAACAGATAGATAAATCCATCAGACTGAGCTAAAGAAGCCTGAGTTATGTAAAGGTTAATAAGGATTCATTTGTGGTCACAAGTACCCAGTTTCACACTGTTTTTCTATTACTGCATTTGTAAAAATAAAAGATAACCATGACCTTACACCAGTTATCATTATCTTAAAAAGACCCTGCCCAGCATAACTCAAAAAGTAATGAGCAGACTGTAATGACATTTTTTGGAGTGGTAGGGTATGGCCCACAGAACAATTTGTTAGATTTTGGTGCTGACCTGTATCATAATTTAGATACAAGAATAGTTTAAAAAAATAATCACCATTGTGAATGCTGGAAAGGCTGCTGACTGTATGCAAGCCCCTTGTGGCTGCACTTCTGAGCATCCGAATACTCGTTTATCGAATCAAAATTTTTGCTCATCTTGCAAAACACTCACAGACCGGGTTACTCGCAATCCAAGGTTCCACTGTACTCGATGTAGCAACAGCCAGCCAAATCAGAATAATCTTGGCAACCTGTGATGGCAGACAATTTCAGCCAACCTCAAAACTGTAAACATTTTCATCTGTAGGACTGGTATACCATTTTATTACATCTTGACATTTTTTTCCGGGGACAAAGTAACCACTTAGATTGAGAATACCCAGGTAATGCCAACTTTGTTCTGATATTTTTGGAGATGTGAGTGTTCGTTATCTGACCAACCAGCTCTAGTACCAGGCAGCTATATCTCGTACAGAGCACAGTAGTCTGTCAGTGTTCCAGCTGCACATTATAGCTGTGTTTCCACTGTTGGAACCTAATGAGATGTACACCCAGTACTTCCCTTAACCGTCACCCAGCATAAGCTCACAGGCTGACATGAACTGTCCTACTTTGCTTTTCCACTGTACTTTTTCTGTCTCTGTTTAGAAGAGAGAGGGACTCTGCCCCTCTCACACACATACACATAGACAGGGAGAGTAGAGGATGTGAAGGATCACTCTATAGTGCAAGAATAGGGTGGCTGTGGCTTACGAGGTAGGGCAGTCGTCTTCTAACCAGCAAGTTGGTGGTTCGACTCCCGGTCTCCCCGCATGCCTAAGTGTCCCTGAGCAAGACACTGAACCCCAAATTGCTCCCGGTGGTTCGACTGGCGCCAGTGTGCGGCAGCCTCTCGTCATCGGTGTGTGAATGTGTGTGTGAATGGGTGAATGGTGTATAATCTCCTGTAAAGCGCTTTGGCCAGTGTAACACACTGTGAGAAAGCGCTATATAAAATACAGTCCATTTACCAAGAATCAGCCAGTAAGGGAGACTGTATGAGCAGTTCATCAACCAGCTATTGAACAGGCAGAACACAATCTTGCAAAAATGTAATGTCTTCACCACTTTGCCCACAGTCCACTCACTGAAGTCCCTGTTTTACCCCTAAATCAATGAATGTCTATCATTTCTATTGTTTTTCTTGAGTACTTGCTCGAGGGGGATTTGCTGTGTTTTCCCTATAATACTGTAAAATCTAGACCTTACTATGTGAAGTGCCCTGAGATGACTGTTGTTGTGAATTGGTGCTAGACAAAATTTAATTAAATTGAGCTGAATTGATTTGAATAAAGCTATCAGCATCCTTCCAAATGCTGGTAGTAGGTTTTCATGGTCAAACTATCATATATGATGGTCAAACTATTCCGGGAATATTGCTTTGTATGGCATTATGGGGGAACTGAGTGCTTTTTGATGGAGGTTGCACTCTCAAATGAAACTAAGCTTGCACCCTTCACTACATGTGTTTAAGTGCATGTATCACTGAAACACTCCACTTGCTAACAGTTTGACCCTTGAACACTGCAGCCCAGAGGGTTTCTGTTCCCTCTGTCAGACTGCCAATCACCAGCACACCTCCTTCTGCACTGAGCTGATTAAAGTCATAAGCACACTGAATCACAGGAATGGCTAGTCAGCTAACACAGCTTAGGTTTTCACATAAAAAACACATTTTCCCCTAAATTGTTATTTGTGGTGTTACTGTCTTATTCACAAGAACATAGACCCTTTAAATATTTCTACAAGTAGAATATTAACAAGGTGAACTTGTAACATGAACAAATGTACCAGACACACATACATCTTTGTTTTTGTCTGTACATATACTTACATTCATTTCCAGGAGACTTACCCTAACCTTAACCAGAACTGCTACTTGCCTAACCCTAAACATAACCAAAACCAGCACTTGCTCTAACTTTACACAAAGCAACTTTTGAAAAATTCAGTGAACTATGTCGTGGAGACCGGAGGTTGGTGACACTGATCCCCATGAAGCTAGTGTGCTCCTGGTTTTCCATCCCTACTTATATAGAAAAACAAGGCAACACAGAAAATGATTTATAGTACTTACTTTAAGTCCTGAAAGGGTTCTGCCCTTACATGTGATGTCTCTACAGAGTGGCTGAACACCACGCCTTCATTCCCTGGAGAAGGGAAAAGTGGATTAAAGGAAGAAATCACATATGTCAAAATACTGCATCATACCTCTGTTCTTGCAGCTGTGGCAGACACATAAAATAATACAGTTCTCGGATCTTTCATTTCAGTAACAATATATAACATCACTTGTACCATATAGTATCAATGTCATGAGTAGTATGAAAATGTGTAGGATGGGAAAGCAGGTAGTGTAAATGTTTGCCTTCAACATTGGATACAAGGATTTATGTCCTGTCTCATACTAGAAATCAGCATTGACTTGAATATTTAATCAAAGGCATAAGGTGGCATTAAATTCCCTCCTAAAACAATTTTCTCAATGCAAAATAGTTGCTTGCATGTGAACATAGTTGGTGATAGAAAAGGTTTGCTCTGATATAATGCAGTGTTTAACCCCCCATGTCCAGCAGGCACCTCTGTTTTAGCCTACAGCCCTGAACAGATGCTTGGGGGAAGTGCAAATCAGGGCTCCTGCTGAGATTGTAGAAAGCATCTCAGAAGCCCGGTGCTACTACATATTTAATAGTGCACTGGGCAACTATGACGACTGACAGGCCCACAGATAACAACAAGGCTGTTTGAAACAGAAGCAACACATACCAGTTTAATTCAAGGAGATTCAAGAGGGTTATGGGGAAAGGATAAGTACACATCTCAAAAAAGTTGCAGGTGGACCTCCAAAGTAGCTAAAGTTGGAGGGTACTGTTTTGTTTTTTTAGCTGAAACCCTGTTCTCTGAGGCCCCCTGAACACTGCATAAATGGGTATGTCTATCAGCTGTCAGTGGATGGAGAAAGTGCTCCTAGCCCTGTCAACAATAGAAATTGCAGCTGAAAGTCCCTCTTAGTGTTAGTACTCTATACAATGTTTCCCACCTAACCACCCTGTTCGTTCCAGCTTCGGACTGTTTTGGTTTCACTGTTATATTTAAAACTGTTTGAAGACTCCGCTGTGAACATGATACAATATGTTTCTGCGCTTGTCTTAGTCTGTTGCATCTGTCTTGACACACAGTAACTGCAAATATTTTCAAAGCAGAGCCTATGGATTTGAACCAACACAATTTACACTGGGTTTACATGGAACATTATGCTTGGAAATGAAACGTAAGCCCACTCGGACCAAATTTGACTAACTGTCTTGCATGCAAGTAACATTCCACAATTTCTATGTAGTATTTGCTGCATATCTCTCATTACACCAGTGGACAGCAATGTGAAGAAGGTTATGTTAAACTTTACAAATGATCTATATACAAATCTAAAAGAAAAGTAACAAACTTCCACTGGACCTCAGTGCATGAACTGAATAGATCTGTTCATATTTGCATTGTTTCCACTGTTACAATAAATGACAGCAACAGTCACTGCTAGCCCTCCATCCCTTAACCTCTCCCTTTTCTCTCCTCCTCACTCCTTCAGAGTTTCTCAAATGGACAACTCTCCCCAGTTATCCAGGCCAGTGTGTATGTGTGTCTCTATGTGCCGTGTTGTATTTGTGTAGCTCAGCTTAAAAGCTGAATGTGCTTGTGTACCGTAAATGCATTTTGTGCAGTCCTCAAAAACAAAATAACAGAACTACTGACATGAAAAGAAACAGTTATAAACACACACACTTTGACTTGCTTTTATCACCCTTGTTTCATGAGAGAGAACACGAGTAAATGAGAAAGTGACATATATTGTAATGTGCTTAAGGGCAATTTGTTTTTATCTCACCTTCTAGTTTTTCTTTTAATTCCAATTAATTTTTTTCTTTTGCAAATATACTCACCTGGCTTTACATAGAGTCCCCTTCCATCTGTTTCTTTTTTCTACTGTATTTCTCTTTCCTGGCCTCTTTAAACTGTAGCTTCAGCAAAAACTCCTTCGCTTGCTGACCCCATTCCTATTTGGCTACACTCATCAAGGGCACTTTGTTTAACAGCTCACCGTGTGTATAGATTCTAAGCTTTGTGTTGTGACCTCAAGTAACCTTGTTACTGAACAGAAATTATACATCAGCCATAGAAATTTCCTTTTAGTTCTCCATGAATGCAGAAAATGAGCGTGGGGCCTTGTCAAAACTGTAGCCTCCTGATCAGCAATTTGTAGCCTATTTGGAATTACTATATTATTATTAGAATAATTAATACTATATAATTACTATAATACTTTACTATACTTTACTAATACTCATAGCTTTACCTTGATAAACTGTTTTGGTGATTTAAATGACTGGACATTTGATCTTATGATCATGTCATTATAATTAACCTATGTGGATGCAAAACTACTTTAAGACTACGTTCACACTGCAGGTCTTAATGCTCAGATCGGATTTTTTGCCGAAATCCGATGTTTTTGCGCTGTTGTTCACACTGTCATTTAAATGCGACTGCTATCTGTCTCATGTGTGAACGGTATACAGCCCTGAGGTGACCCGCATATGCAGAAGAGGACGTGACGTCAGACGCAGCGTACTGTGTTTGTGAAAATAAAAATGGATGCAGCTCATGATAGCATGTGCGTAGCGATGTACCAGTTAATGTGCAATCGAAATAAAGAAATAATAATAAGAAAAATATCAAGAAGAAAGAGAAGAGAGCACAAATATTGCTTATGGCCTCGCCTCCTCCAGCGCAGAATTGTGACGTCTGTCGCATTTCAATGACATAAAAATCGCATGAAATGCGACATGGCTGTTCAGACTGAAGTCGCATTGCAAAACATCAGATATCTATCCAATTTAGGACCACATATGAAAGTGGCCTGGGCCTGATTTGAAAAAATCAGATTTGTGCTGTTCACACTGTCATAAGGAAATCGGATATGGCTCACATTTGGGCAAAAAGATCGAATTTGGGCCACTTCAGCCTGCAGTGTGAACGTAGTCTTAGATTCATCATTTATGGTAATAGAAAATTGCTTGAATTCATAACAAATAACATTAACCCAAAAAGAAGATGAATAAGAAAACGATAAAGAAGAAAACATGTATAAAACAATATCAAAATTATGTTATTTGGTATACAGTATGTTTTGTACTCTTTGTGCATCCCCTTACCTGTAACTCTGAGTTTCTCAGTACCGATGCTGATCTCCTCTTCATCTGCTGAGAACAGAACTCTCTCTCCATCTGCACTCATTACCTCAAACCTCTGACATTGAGCCTCCACCATTTCTGAACCTGAGAAAGCGAGAGAAAGAGGAGGCCTGGGGTTAAAACTGAGAACAGAAGAACATTCACAGCACATAAAATGTAACATCTGGTAGATCCCCCCCCCCCCAAAAAAGCTCTTTAAAAACACCTTCGTGTGAAGGTTTAGCTTGAACAACCACAGAGAGATTTAAACTCTTAGTTGCAGCAACTGTGAGATTCTCCTTTCTTTGATACCAGAGCAGTATCAGTGGAGATACTGATTTGCCTGAGCATTGTTTGACATAGCCCAAAAGGAACATCCATCCATTATGTATACCTGTTAGATGCTTGGGGGTGAGGGGTTGGAGTCAATCCCAGCTGACACTGGGTGGGAGGCGGGGTACACTGTGGACAGGTCACCAGTCTATCACAGGGCTGACACATAGAGACAGACAACCACACACACTCACACTCACTCCTAGGAACAATTTAGAGTTGCCCGTCAACCTAAGCTGCATGTCTGTGGACTATTGGAGGAAGATGGCGTATCTGGAGAGAACCCACGCACAGGGCGTACATGCAAGCATTGGGCTGGCAGGGGCTCAAACCCAGAGCCTTCTTGCTGTGAAGTGACAGCGCTAATCACCGGGTCACCATGCTGCCCTCAGTGGCCTGTTTGTGGTCCAATTAAGTCTGGATAATCCACCCAACAACCAATAATTGCTTCAATAATTCTCATTGGAACCACTTTTTACTGAAGAAATGCTCAGTAGGAGTACTGTTGACAGCAATTTCCCAAGATTAGAGACATTTTTGTTAAAATTTCAGTTACACACTTTAAAACAACTTTAACCAGTTGGTTATGTAAAATCACTTTATATCAGTAACTGATACTAGGAAAATCTCAGACTTGAAATCATAAGAAGATGTTGCAATTTATTATTCCATATCTTAATATCTCGAAGAAAAATGGTTTGCAGGTAGATGGTGTGCATATACACACTTTTTCACTTTAAAGATGCAAGCTGCGACCTGAAGAGGCAGTGCTCGAAGTGGGCTGCAATGCACCAGTACTCAGTACCAGCATTTCTACATTTTACTCTATGGCATACTGGGGCTTTTACTTGTGTACTGCTGTGTCTCACAACCTGCCGGTAGTCTTTTCTGCCCTCTCCATGGGCTCATTTCAGATGAACAGCATCTCATCTGGAAAGTGGACGAGCTCAGATGGTGGCAGTAACAGAAAGCTACAGTCGAGATGGACAGTTTAGGAGCTTTCCACCAGCCTTTACAGCAGCGCTCGAATTACAGGGGAGTCAGGACAGTTTAGGTCCCCCAGAAGCAATAAAATTTCAAGTTTAGGCATTCCCAAATAATTAATAATCATAATAAATTCTAATCATAAAACAAACTACCTACAAATTAAAACTTTAAAAAATTTGACACACCCCATCTCTTTTCTGTCCCACACTTCTTCAGGACATTGGAGTTGTGGTTTTAAGGTCTTTGCAGTACCTGCAGTTTTCAGAGAGAGTATAAAAGTAGTCCATTTTACTTCAGTGAGCTGCCAATAACCACACACCCACACACTTTGAGCACTGCACAGAGGTAAAACGTTCCAAACAAAAGTAACCAATCAGACAGGATTAGCTTGTGCTTGGGGGGTTTCACAGTCCCTGTTAAACTGGAGAATCATCACTTTCACCTTAAATTACAGTTCCTTTTATGATTCTTCTCTTCAGGACAAAAATACCCTTTACAAGGTTTGACAAAGCAAATTTAGAATATGTTAAAGGTAAGATTTTTACTTCATATTAAAATCCTTATTCTGAAAGGCTATTAATGAAATTACATTTTGGCTGTCAAAAGAAGTTCTCTTTTAACAGTAATAACCATATTTCCATCCTATTTACAGATGGAGAAGAATGTGAAGATTACACATTCAAAGACGTACATTTCACACTAATTGAAAGTAAAGCAGACAGAGGGTGAAAACATGGGGGATTATTCTGAATCAAAGGAAAGAATCAAATTAATGTGCTTTCAAAATCTCATCCTTTCTCAATAAAGCAACCTCAATTATTTTTGATTTAGCCCAAGTTGAAGATAAGTCACTTCACTCAGGATGCTCAGGATGACGTCCTTACTGTGCCCAAAATATTACGAGTCAATTTCCCCAAGAACATGTGTTGAATTTATTTATATGATAGTCCCTATCCAGAAGGAAAGGCAATGCTTTGATAGCCTGCAGGTTCCTCTGTATTAGGGCCACCAACTGGCCCTGGTTATCACCTAAAAGGAAGTCGCTCATTTCAGCATAAGCTATCATTTCTTGCCAGCTGCTGCAACAAACAAACCACTGACATTGTTCAAATAGTTAGAAAAATCTCATTAAATGTGCTGCTGCTGGTGGCCTTTCAAGAAAAAGAGTTAGCAGGGAAGGCTGACAAGTTGATAGATCTACTGACAAAGTTCATCCATGTTCCCTTTATTTTGTAAATTGGACTGTGATGTACACCTGAGCCTATTAAGACAATCACTCTCTACCCCACCCACTTCATTCACTGTCTCAGCTCCAAAGCTATTACAAGTGTCAATTAGAAACCCAGAGTTCCTTGTCAGTCATAATCAAACTTTATTAGCAGACATCAATCTGGGATTAAGCTTGTTTTCGCACCTGTCTCTCTCTCACTGTTTTTATCCCCTCTCTATCCCCGTAAGCCTCTCAGTCCTCCACTGACTGTTTGAAAAAGCAATTGAGGTTTGTGTTGCACAAAGATGTATTACAAATTATACAAAAACTTAATAGACTGAGGAGAAGCTGGGTGGGGTAGGGGGGTTATAGATTGAAGAGATGGAAACGACAGAACGGAAAATGAGGGTTTAATCTTGAGGAGAAGATTGTTAGATAGGTGGTGTGTTGCACTAGTTACTTTCTCAGACACCTAGCTAGATCTCATTCATAGTGCAGCTCTCCAGCACACTGTAGGTGCAGGTCCGAATATTTCCAGCGATTTATGTTTTATTCAAAGACATTTCTCTCCTTGTTTTCTCAGTAAGGGTAAAGATTCTGAAACAGTTGCAGATGAGTAGCTTCAACCATAGTAAAAACAGAAGAAAAGGGGGGAAAGTGCTAGTATCTGGCCTTTAGCTGTCGTGCGATGTGTGAATACACAAGAACTGTGCCTGTGGCTTTAATGCTAAATTGAAATGGATGCATATGTGTGCGCTTAGCACTACCAGCGACAACATGAGGCAGAGCGGCCAAAAGTTACTCATTTCAAATGACTGCTTAGAGAAGGGAACTGACAGAGAGCTGAGTGATGATGGCTGGCAGAAACATCTAAGCTAAGCAGCTTTACTTTATGCAAATGGACAGTGAGGTGGCATCGTAATGGAAAATTAAATGGTACATGCAAAGTTTTTGAAATTATGTTTTCCGTGGCTGTTAACATTGACACTGTTAAGTGAAAAAAATACAACATAAAAAGCGTGGAATATCGAGACTCTCTGGAGCAAACATAATAAAGTTTATATAATTTGAAATGACAGCTTCACTGAGTTATATGCCTCAAGTTATTGTATAGTTTTTACACGTCCAGTGGTCAAAATGTGAGTGGTTTGTGAAGTAAGAACTACAATATATAATCTTTTTTGGTTCATCTGGCATCTGCAGGTAGCTAGCGTTCATTCTGTGCAAACTAAGTGCTTTTGGTCAATTAATTTGCTCATGCAAATGTCTCTCCCACTGATAACACCAAAGTAATGCTGCTGTCACCACTAACAACAGGATTGCTCGTTAAGCAGACATGTTAATTGATGCACTGATTTAAATAATCACTTCCTGACAGGATCTCCTCTGTTGTAACAAGTGCCTTCATCAGCAGGATCCTTGAGAAATAATAAAGCTTTTAAAATATCTCACTGATGAAGAGAGGTGCTAGAGAAAGAAAAACAGAAGCATAACAGTATAGTATGTGTGACTGAGGTCCTGAGTCAGATCTGAACTTTTTTACCATGTCAAACATGTGACATGAACTTGAGTCGGCTGAGCCATGAGGGTGTAGACATCACTGGCATTTTAATGTTTTAACTATAGTGCTAGAGGAGTGTGTTGGGTTTATTACCACCTTAAAACACAAGCACTGCAGTTAATTTGCTCAACTCACTTTTGCCCATTCATTTCAACCTTCTGTCACGGGTTCACTTCTAGTTGTCACGGTTCCCATCAGGAATTACAGCTCCATACACGCTAAATAATAGTGTCTGCAAAGTCTGTATGGTACTGTGGAACAAGTAGTCAAATTTCTCCTTGTGTGGTCCTATTTGAAGTCAATGAAACAAGTGATTTTCTACAGCCTGCATTGATGTGAAAGGGCTATAAGAAAGAAAATCCTGCCATTATGTATCTACACTATCATACCTTATCACAGCGTTTAAACTACTGTGTATAAAGGCCAGATCTTCTTTGAGCAGTTTTGATAAACTACCCTGTGCCCATGTTCACTTGGTCCGAATCATTCAGCTTAGGGTACCTGCCACACCTGCTGATATGTGCCTTAAAGGATGAGAACTGGGAAGAATGGTGCAAAGGAAAGTCCCACAGTGCAGCTGTACAACAACCATTCTAAGCCAGTTATGTTTCTGAAGCAGAAAGACTTGAAGTAAACTATATATATTTATGTTCATCTTTTGCTGACCATTGTGACCATCTTCTTGAAAAATGTATATAGCGTGGTTTACTGTTAATTTTACTGAATAACAGAAGTGCCAGGAAAAGATATTTGTATCCTAATAATACTAATAAAGCATTAAAATGTTATTTTGTTCTGACCTGTTTGTCCCAGAAGAGAACATAAGTACAGTGCAACATGACCTGTTGCCAGTCATCATTAGATTTTCCACCATGGGTCCTAATGATGTGCTGATGATGCTGGATGCAGTCAGTCTGTATGACTTCATGTCTACTCCAATTGGTTTGTTTGTAAAAAAAAAAAATGTTACTGTGAACATGAACTGGACTAGAACCAAAACGGGGCAATGTATAT